GCGGCTGGTTATATGGTCATAAGCCAGTTCATTTTTCGGAGATGTCTTCATCTATCGTTAGAGGCCAACAACTTGCTTCGCTGTTTTGCAGAAACGTGTGCTGGTTTGGACAATTGTGTGATGTTTCGAAATGTTCCTTACCTTTAGGAGTTCCTGGCTCTGGCTCCACCGGACGCGTTCACCCCCTAAACTGGCGATAAGCTTTTCAGCCACAGACAAGCGTCTCTCGCAAGTCTGTGCCTCTTGCTGAAGCGTCTCTGACCTTTGGAGAGCCTGCTGGTACTGCTGAGACAACTGCGCGATAAGAGTTTCAAGCTGCAACAGCTCCTCCTTCTTGTTGTGCAGCACTGCCTCGGCGGCGTGCAGCTCACTCTGTGCCTGCTGAAGTGCTGCTCTGCGAGGCCGTACTGCGTTGTTTGCCCTGTCATAAGCGATTAGTGCCTTTACCCACAGGCAGAGACTTGTGGCTGCCACTGAAGCTTTGTTGACGATTTCTGGGTCGAAGTCCGCGTCATCATCATATGGGGCAATGGCGGCCATGACATTCGGGGCTATAGTATCTCTGTCAAAGTTAAGCAGACGCTGAAGGAACCGGCTGCTGCCAAGCAAGTGTTTCTTCCCTGTCTGCCAGTAGTCTGGTTGGCGGGGCTGCGAGGGCGAGACCTGAACGAAAATTGGCGGAACTCCAAATAGCTTGCAAAGGGCCTCCATAACCTTGACCACGCCAGATGGGGGAGCCTTCATACTCTTAAGCTCAGTAATATCTGCTTTGCTTAGCTTCTTAAGAGCTTCTTCGGCTGCTAGCAATGCAGGCATGGCTTCAGCTAGGTGGTCTTGGCATTCGCGTTCGACAGCGGCAGCTGCATCAGCTTGGGTCTTGCATTCCCTCTCTTCGGCTTCCACGAGGCTCTAGCAGGTATGAAGACACATATCACACTCACCGGTCACTGTACGCGCTGTCCAACAGCAAAAGAAAGATTTGCTACCCTCTTCTCTATGGAGCGACTGATCATCAGGGTCGACAACATATTTCACACCCACATGGCACTGGCCCCAATGTGGCCAGTGCAACCAGAGAAAGCAGGGACGTTCCAAAATGGAGGGCTCTCTTCGCTGGTCATTTTTGGACGATAACACCTGAACCTACCATGGTAGTTGCAGCATGCTCCTGCTTGACCGTCAAGACCTGCATAAGCTGTTGTGTCTCCACTGATGACTTTGCTAGCTCCGGCTGGAGCTTTTCAAGCTGCTGCTGCATTTCCATGACTTGCAAGCTCACATCGTGCAGCTTTTGCAAGCCAAGCTCGTACTGTTGTTGCTGACGATGGTGCTGGGAGGCTCGCGTCAGAAACACGTAACAAAAACCGTCTAAAAACCGAAGAAAGGAGGCTGGAGTGACGTAAAAAAACCGTCGCTGCTCTTCTCGATAACAGGCAGCGATGTCTCTCGTTGACTCAAAAATATCGGCGCAAGCCCCACAAAGGTGTTTAACGCTTTCGTCGGAGTCTGCAGAAGGATGCGACTGCGATGATTTAGGTGCAAATTCCGCCTGTTGCACGCTTGGGAAGGCACTGTCATGCTGTTGCAGCGGCGCGGACACTGATAACAGCTTCTGCTGTGCAACCGAGTACAAGGCCTGCGATGACCAACTCCAAAAGTAATTAAGCATGCAGCAGCTGGTCAGGGCCGGGAATCTCCTGAAGAGAACCTGTGTCTGGGGGTCGCTGGGGCTGCAATATACGCAAATGCGGAGTCGTTGCCGGCACTCAGCTGCTAAGAGCTCTATGCTGGGTGTCGCAACGAGCGTCCCATCAGCATCGCTTTGCGCAGGAACTGGTCCGCCACTGCTTCCTCCCGCTGTACTAGGAGGCTTAACCCTCAAGGCACTTATAGCTTCTGCCTGAAAGAGGGGATCACCAGAGCAAGTGGCCCATCAGAGTTTCTATTAATGAGCCATTGCGATGCTGTCTATGGGGCATGCTCATTTTGAACTATGGCAATGCTCAAAGCGGCACAAGAACAGTTTGTACGCCTCTTCATAGTCGTTTACTGCACACCGGCCTCAGATAATCTGCTGAGTCGGCAACACCTGAAAGTGCAGGGGTTGCTCACCTTCTCATCAGGAGTGAATACTTCCGGTATTTCCTTGAGTTGAAGCATGGTGCAAACGTGTGCTGCAACACCGTCGTGCGCAAGATGCTCAGCCGGCACTAGAAGCAGCTGGGGCTTCTTTAGCACGCCGGTAGCCAAAATTGTGCTCTTAATGTCTTCTTGCCACTCACTGATCGCCAGAGAATGGGACACTCCGTGGCACTCGACTACCCCAAAACCTGCTAGGAATGCTGCCAGGCGAGCGCACGACCGGCGCCCAGACCCACCAACCCCCAGAAGCAGCATATGGCCTTGTGGTTGAAGGAATGTGTTCATGCATCTCAGTGCATGTTCAACGGCTTGAGGAAAGAGAACCAGGGACAAGGGCTCGTTTGGATGCAGCAGAGAATATTCCTCAAGGGCAGCTGCGCACATCTCGTGAGCTTCAACTTGCGTGACGCGCTCATATACTCTTGTTCCCAAGATACAGTCCTCTACAGCTGTTGTTGCCTGCCCTGTTCCGGCAGCAGCTCCAGCTTCAGGCTCTCGAAATGCAAAGAGTAAGGGGCCTTGCTTGGGCGGATCCAAATCGGCTAGAGTGAAACCTGCTGTTTCTCTCAAAAGCCCACTGATGCATCCTGAGAGAATGTCCAAGTCCGGCGCGTTGGCTGTCTTATCCTCAAAAACCCTACGCACCTCGTGGAGCCAACAACAGAGCAGTTGGTGCTGAGACTGAAGGCCAACAGGGTTTAAGAACCCAAGTCTTTGCACAACCCGCCAGCAGTCCCTTGGAGTCCATTGCTGCATCCAACGAGATGGCCGCAGAGGCAGCCGCTGCTGAACCTGTCTGTAGAGATGAGCAGTTAGTACGGACACTTTTTTAAGGCCCTCGACTACCGGCTCCGCGCAGCTGTCGAAACGGATTAACAGTAGCTGGCTCAAAATTGTCTGCAGGGACTCTGTGGAATATGGCACACCCGTGAGTGGGAAGAAGTGCCTAGCCAGGCGCTCATTATGCTGCTGCTGCTGCTGTGGAGTGCGGCGTGTCGCTGTTAGCGTCAGTCCTTCAACGGGGTGGAATTTCCACACTCCTCCTTTGCTCCATCCGCCGTATTCCAGCAGCTGCCGTACGAGCTCGCCTACCGGTTGAGCCCCTGATTCCTCTGTTGGGGGCAAGTGGACGTCATCGAGCAAAAGAACACAACGTCGGAAGCCAACCGGTCGCAGACCCGCACTGTGGGACTTCTCCAATCTGCCCTCTAACCACTGCTGCACAGCAGTGGGGGTTGCTGCACCAGAAAGAGAAAGGGCCAGGAACGCGAACGCATCTGATTTGCTGTTGGCTTCCACAGGCAGGCCTTCAGGCTCCGACATCAAGGCTTTTCGTATCGGCTGCGCAGCGGATCCTTCCTGGTTTCTCAGCTGCTGGATCAACTTTTTTTGGCTCTCCACGGCCATCCCCTGTAACATTTGGTTCATACACTTGCTTTTGCCGCCACCTGCCTCTCCAACTAAAAGGAAGGGTGCTTTTCCAGGGGCAGCAACAAGGCCTAAGAAGTAATTGAGTAGAGCTGTCTCTGGAGTCTCTATTAGAACGTGCTGCAAAGCGGCTGATGTCATAGCGGCACCCTTCCGCACATCTGGAAGCATGGGCAGCGATGCCCATGGGTGCCATTTCTTCTGCTGAACGTCCCAAAATACATCAAAACAGCTTCCCGTTGGAGGAATATGATGATTGAAACGTCGGACTTGTTTGTGTGTTTGTCTTTGGCCCATATCGTCTTCTCCGGAGGCGTGCCATTCAGTCAGGAGACCCATTTGTTCCAATGCATCAAAACGACCACTATGCAGGTTGCGGAAGGCCACGTCAAAGGCAGGCCGTTCAGAGACGGACAGAGTGCCACCAGCGCCCCACAGCAAGGCAAATACCAATGCACCCTCCAGTGACTGCTCAAGCAAATCGGCCACCGTACCTTCTCCTCTCTGCATCGGAAGTAGACACAAGGAAGGTAATGAGTGAAGCACAAGCATGGAGACATGAAAATACCTTCATGGCTCTATGCGCGTTTCTAGGCAAAGCAGACTTCAGCACAAGCTAAGGGAATGAACGTAAGTCAGTCTTCACGATACACACAAATTGAGATGGGATTTCAACTGGCTACATCTTCTCGTTTAGCTGAGCTTGGACACTTGCCAAAAATATCTTCTTTTGAAAAAATAATTAACAGAGGAGATACATCTTTATTAGAAGACTATATTTTTTATCAACAGGCCGCAGAAGATCAGGAGGTCGCATCCTGGAGTTCTACTAAAACGGTCAAGCCGGCTCATCACAGCGTTTTAAAAATTCAACAAGGGACGAGAGTCTACCGTAACAACAAAATTTCGATTAAGCATTACCTGCGCTGGCTCTACAATCTGCGCGACGAGGGCATCAAAGAGCCTTAGCACATTCAGGACCATCCTGTAAAGGAAAAGCACCAAAAGGGTAGCAGCTTGCGCCAGAGAGTTATCTGAAGTATATTACTGGAAGCCTTTGGCGCCTCCTCAATTACATAGTCTCCACGAAAACATTAGGACAAATAGATTGAAGCATGTTTTAGCTCGATCTTTCCCGGGGAAGTCCCCGTTCTTTGGGCCTTACCAACTAGGCGAAATGTTCAGGGGCCCTCCATTGCACTTGGCAAGAAAGGCAATGCAGACGGTGCAGCACTCGCGCATAGTCTGCGCAACGTCTCTTACAACATCATCACCAAGGAGCTTTGCAGTAGACGAGTGAAGGCTCCAGGAGTGCAAAAGACTCTTCCATTGGTGCGCATCTTGATGAATATACACCATTCCACAGCGAGAAACCGTTGCAGGCGAGGCGCAACGTAAATCCGTCACTTCAAAGAGCATCGCCGTCTGCGGCGATAAAAGTATGACCTCCCCACTACTTAGGCACAACTTCTTGTTGTCATCAAGTACTGTATTCAGGTTTTCAACCCAGCCCTGAACGAAAATGCCGCGTACCCACATGGAGACGCGTTGGTCGTGATTCGATGTGAACTTCTGCAAATCCGCGCAATTCGATAGTCCACGTCGACGTTGAGTGACTCTAGCTAGCTTGCGAAGTTCTGTTGGTAGCACAGAGGGAGAAAACAGGACGTCGAAATTCTCTTAATCTATATGGCTCTAGTTGTTACCGGCCTGTGTGTAGCGTACTACATCCACTGGGCCATCTAGGATAATCCAGCGCCGAACGTTACTATCCCGTTCCAGTGAGGCTTCCCGAACTGCTTGCTCTAAGGCGCCGCCCCTCCACTCGCGTGTAGTTGGGTCCAGTGAACCGTATAGCTCCTCGACGACGAGGGCCTTAGGGAAAATCCGATGAGCGATACACCTAGGTCTGACAGCCTTGCATCCGCAGTGACTCTGTTTTGCTGTTTCATTCGTGCAGTAAGCATATTCGGGAACCATGCTGGGGCCGTTGCCGAGATCAACTTCACCGTTGGTTTCGTTGCGTCCGTTGATCAGTGGTGCCGCTAACGCTGCAGCTGCTGCTTGCTGTAGTTCCAGCGCAAGTACAAGGCATTTAACTGCCGAAGTTTTTCCCGTCGCCGAGGAGCCGACGAGCATCAGTCCATGACGGTGCTCCAGGGTATTTAGAACCTAAACGGGTTAAGGGAAAAGAACACTAATGCCTCCAAGAGTTGAGAACACACTGCGCGGTTCTAGAGAGGTAAAAAAGTCCAAGTGTCACAGCATGGTGTATGCAGCTCAACCACCTAGTGCTCCACTTCAAATCAGATGAGTCGTGGAGGCTTTAATAAGGCAGTATTTTGCTCTTTCCGTCCAATAGAAGTCGAGCTGTGTACCAGTAGAGGTGATGCAAAAGGTGATGCAAAAGCCAAGCGCGCAAGAGGCCATGTGGGAAACATTAAATTCAGGTGCGGCCTCTTCAGGTACCACCGCACCTGCAAGCTCTTTGCTAGGAGCTCCTCTGACGGCTCAAGCAACAATTGTTCTGCTGCTTCTCTCAAAAACGGTCGTAGTGACTCCTCCGATTCGGCTGCCGCAAGGTCACCCTCGTCAAAAACATCTTTCAATATTTCCTCAAATATTAGTTTGTCTGTGGGGTGAAGTTTTGGGATGTTTGTTAGCCGCAAGGCCTTGCAGAGTGTCTTTGCTTCAAGCCGAGTTGGCGACTCTTCGTTCTGAAAACAGCCGGTTTTTGCAGGGCTAGGAGCATTCTCCGTCGAAGGCTTGAGCTGTTCTAGAAATAGATGCTTTGCCGTATTCAAGACGGCTACAGCGGCCCGCATTCCGAAGTCATAATGGCTGCGCCTTGCAAGCTGCTCAGATGCTAGCTGGAGACAAGTGACCATCTGCAGTAGGTAGTAACCGACACCACCGGATGATTGGACACCTGGACGTTCGCGGATATTCTATGGAAGCACTGTCACTACCGGTGCTCCGTTATGCCGGATTCTGCACTGCTTGATAGCAACCGATGACAGCTTCTAGGGGTTTGCATTGCCACGGCAGCATTAGTACTTCCATACCTTCTTTGAAAGCTTAAAGGCATCCTGAAAACCGCTGCAGTACAGCATGACTTCGGCAATCAGGGCGGCATCAGGGACCATCATGGTGCAAGGTCGAAACAGGGCCTATAGTGAACCATGTAGAAAGCATCTGGACCACTAGTTTGTAGGCTTACAAGTTTCATATAGCTAGTTATGTATCACCGAAAAACCGTTAGTAGAGAAAAACGCCACTACGGAGCCAAGGGAGGTGGATTTATTAAATGCAAGCAGTAAACGTGCTAGCGTGCAGTTTACCGGTAAATGCGCCAGAGTAACATGAATAGTGCAACTGCAGACGTTGGCAGCACCACACGCACTGTAACTGCCTTGGGAATACTCAGTGTAGTTTACCTTGAGTGTATCTGGCAAGATTGAACGCCCAGCATATCCAGGATTCATAGTGATGTTGATTGCGCAGGTTGGATTAAGCTGAAGGTCCGTGTCTTCAAAGACAAACGTTATGGCCTTTCTTCTGATAGCTTGCTGAATTGCTGAAATTTGCAATGCAACTATAGACAGGACATCCAACTGAAGCCTATTAAACTCGTCAAAACAGCACCAGCCGCCACTGGCTGCAAGACCTTTCAGCAACGCCGCCATCGCTGCGGCATCTAGACCCTCGCTGCAGTTGAAAACAAGACAGGGCTTTCCTGCAGCCTTTGCAAGGTCCTTAGTGGTCTCCGTCTTCCCTGTCCCCGCCGGGCCCTCTGGGGCCCCCCCGTACTGGTAGTGCAGTGCCGTCATTAATGTGCGGTAACAGCGATCTGTAAGCGGTGTTACCACCAGACGGTCCGGGCTACGCAGCAATTCGAAGCCATAGTATAGACTACTCTCTACCATTGAAAGCTGCAGGCTGCCACAGTTCCCACGACTTCCCCCTTTTTTAGGTCCTCTCCCCCCCACAAGGAATCCTGCAGACCCAGTTCCGCCACCCAAGTGGTGTGCGGGAGGAGTCCAGTAGCTTCGAAGGTGACGTATCCACTCAAACTCCGTTATGTGGCTCGTTTTCTTTTGTAACAACTCCTCCGTCACGTCGCGACAGTGGACATCTAGTGTCAACAAAGTTGCAAGCGCCGAACGATTCATGGGAGTTAACTGCCCTCTGACTGCCTGGACTACCTGCAGGCAGTCTCAGGCTAGCCGAGCATAGATAGATGACCACTAAGACGCCACCAGAAACGCTGGTTGTATGTGATATCCAATAAGAACTTGAGCGACGCACCTGTTGTAACTGATGTTGCAAGTCCTTGACTAGCTGCGGCAGCTGGTGTTGTAGGATGGCTGTCTCTACCTGGGCAGTCCAACAGCAATGCGCTATGGCCAGAGCAGCCTGGGCGCAAGCGCATATTTCCGTAGTCCACGCCAGTCTGCTTTGAGCTGAAGGGAATTCTTCCCACGCGTTCTGCATTGCCTGTTGGAGAGCCGCGCACATTTCGCGTTCGATCTGCAGAAGAGCCGATGGAGGCGGCAAGCACAGTCACCTCATCTCACCTCATGGTGCTCGTTACCTTTCCTAGCAGCAGAATCAAAGTTTGCCTTGGTGCGAGGAAGGCTATGCACCTCCAAAGTAATGTTACTGCCGGCAAAAAGTGATTGCACAACGTGTTGTGCATTCTATGGTTACAAAAAGATCCACACTTGTGGGTATGAAACAAGGCATTCTTGGCGCAAGGCGTCATGCTTACGGATAAAAATATGTCTTCAATACAGGCGGATTGTCCGTCCTTTACAAGCCTCACTGGTGTCAGGAGAGGAAGGGCTTCTTCCCTGTGTGAAAAAACGACGTTTGCTTCCTTGGACTGCTGGTCAAAGTCCAACGAGTGGATGCCCTCAAAGCACTTTTGGACATGCGGTCCAAGCGCTTCGACGTTGCTAGCACCGGCCAAAAGCTGCACGAGCTCCTCGTTGGACAAGAAGAAAAACCGCGGGAAGGCGAGACGTTTTTTCTCCAAGAACTCGTTAAGGCCCCGCACGACGAGTTGCATATCACTACAAGCTAAACGCAGCTTTTGAGGTAGTTCTTCAAGCTCCGCCAGATCTAGTAGGCTTGCATTGTCGTCAAGCCGGCCAACAACCTCCTCCTTCCACAGGTTTCCTACAGCGTTGAGTATTTGGGCTTCCTTAGCAAGTTGCTGCTGCATTTCCGGGTAGTCGAAAATTGGTGTCAAATATACCCACGACACCTGGCACGCTTCTAAGAGACTGCATAATGTTTCGAGGTCACTTAGCTTCCGAAGCCATTCTCGTGCTTGCACCTCTATGCCACCAACAAGCTGCGAAGCCTGCAGACTTTGCACACTTGCTTGGTGTTCTTCTATCAGCGAGTTCACTGCATCAAAGCCTTTGAGCATTTTGCGGCCTAACTCCTCATTTCCGAGAGTCACCAACTCCATACGAAGTGCCCGCCATGCTCCTCGCATCTTTTGAAAGCATGCTTTTGTGCGGAACTCCCGCATGGCTGCAGAACCAATGACTTCGACAGCTTGTGTGGCCTCTGGCAATCCTTTCAGGAGAAGGGTATTGAGAGATATGGCTTCATCCTCTCCATATGTGTCGATATTCAGTCTCGCAGCAAGTTCTTGCCAGTGCTTCGGCTGAAACGACGGGTGTGTCAGGGTTTTCATCAGGGGTAGCATCTTCTGGAAGGAAGCGATGGCTTGAAGTAGCTTGTCGCATGCCTGCAAAGGCTCGACCGATCGGAAAACGCCGGCCACCCTTCGCGTAGACAAGGCCACCTGCCGCCACTGCTGTAACTGTTCTTCCACTTCGTCACAGTCCAGGCGAGCTAATGAAGTGGCTTGCCATTCTTCTCGACCCGTTATGAAGCTGCTCGCGGCAGTCCAAAGCTACAAGGATGGCATCACATCACGTCCCATGGCAGTAGCGACAGGCCGCCCTGCAGAGTGCCTAAAACTAAATTGACTGGGTCGTAGAATGGCGACAACGTAGATTCCCGAACTCGAGGCCATATAGCTAGGGCACTTTTAATAAGCTACCCAGAGAAGGCAGGATGTGGGTATAAGCAGCATACCTCATAAAGCCGGTCGAAAACAACGCAAACACCTTCAAGCTCTTCAAACTCCGAAGCCTCAAGACCAAAGAGCCCCTCTGCTTTACGCAAGTTATCCACTTCCAATCGAGCAGCTTGGACGCGCTGGCTCAGCTTCTCCAGAACTGGTAGATAGGTGGCGGACTCTTCTATGTGCTTGAACATGGTAGCTGCTGTGTCCACTTCGACGCGCAACGCCTCAGATTCTGTCTGCAACTGCTGAGCGCTTATTTGCCTTCTCGCTTCTAGCTGCATCCGTAGATATTCATGGAAAAGAGAAACAATTTTGACATGCCCCGTCTCACACGCAAGTTCACTCTTCTGGGAGAAAGGGAAGGAAAGGAATTGCACCCAGTGAGCGTTTCCCTGTGTTACTGATGGTCCCTCCGTCAGGCTGCTCCGAGCTGCCTGCTTATTGTGGAGTGCAGAGAGAAACTCGTGCTCTTTACCAGGGCCGTTAGTGGGGGTGATCAATGAGCCATACTCTTTCTTTCGCCAGATCAAGAATGCCATTCGTCTCGCAGAGAGCCATCTTAAGCCTCATCGGGCAGCAGTCGAGTTCAAACGCCTGCTTCTGCACCCTTAGTGAAGCAAATACAAAATTTTCTTCAAGGCGTTCTATAAGATTGGAGAGTCTTTGACCTCTCGTAATCAAAGGGGCTGTCTCCTGGTGAACTATGGCCAGGTACTTCTTCAGTTCAATTAACTCTTGTTCGCTCGTTGGAACCAATGATGCTCTCCCCAATGCCTCTGCCCACGCCTCGTGGAGGTCGTTAATCTCCCTCTCCGCCCACGCCAAGGCCTGGTTGCACATTTGGTCCTTGAGTATCTGTACTTTGGATAGAAGCGTTGCCCTGGCCTTCTCACCATCCACAAAAAGTATTCTGGCTGCAATCCGAGGAGACAACTTCCGAAGCCGATTTTCGGCCTCTTTACACTGTTGCAAGTCGGCCTGTAGTTGTTGCAAGTTTACCGTTCCACTTGTATCAACGGGCAGTTCCGCAGCACCACACAGGGCAGCAGCCACTTCCTCAAGCTGCTGACGCAATTCCTCTGCCACTGCAAAAGAAGCCTGCACTGCAGAAACCATTGCCTTCTCGGCTTCGGCTAAAAAAGGCTCCTCTAGGGAAAGATGCAGCAGTGGCTCATCCGAAGAAGCCGCGAACGGCACTATATCTGCATCTGCGGGACACAGCGGATGTGCGCGCATCGAGGAACGGTGCACACGCTGAACAAATTGTTCCTTGGATGCTTATGTCCTGCAAAGTGCCAGAGTGTTATCCCCTGCGACCTCTGCACAGGCGTCAGTCGTCTTATGCCACTCAAAGCATACTAAAGACCAGAAACTAAGCACAATGCCTTTTGTCGTCGACGCCAGAACTGGCTGAAGCGAAGCAGTGGCCACCGAACTATTGTCAGTGCCCTCCGTTGTTGCCTTTTTAATTCACTTAATAGGCAACTAACCTAACTTGTTGATTGTAGCGATAGCATCCACCATTGTCAACAGCGCTTGACGGAGAATTGCCTCCACCCTGGAGCAAAGCACAACTTTGCAGTGCAGTATAAAGTAGCACTACGGTGCTGGCCAGAGCAATATAGCTAAAAGTTGCACTATGGGAAGCCAGCTTTGTGGACTTGCTTTTCTGGACCAGGGTGAAATATGGCTGAGTCATTAGAGATGAGTATGCGAAGATGCAGGAGGCAAGGAACATTTCTCTTTAAAGAGAAGCCAGCAGCCACAGCAGCACCAGGTGCTGCGGCGGCTCCTTTTTGCAACTGGGGGTCAAGCTTCTCCTCCACGGCCCGCAGCATGTAATGCTTCCACTCATTTGCGGAATCAATTACAAATGATAGCAACTTGCTCCGCAGCATGGCGTTGAACCGAATGAGCTGCCGGCGCAGGAACAAATCTGGAAGAGCTGTTGCCACGCTGTTTGAAACGGGCGAAGAGGTAGCTGCTGAACCTGCTACCCCTACCATGTTAGCCGTTGCATAGGGTGCAGACGCTGCTGCTGTATGCAAAGGACCAAAGGCGCTGATAAAGGCGTGGCATAAAGAGTCCCTTCCAAGCTCGCGAAGGGCGTCAGCAACGTCGGATGACAGCGCCTGCTGGTATGAAAGATACTTGTCTGGATCCGGAATCTGTTTGTAATGGCAGCAAATATATAGCTATCCTTGGGGAACACGAATCCCAAGACGCGGCGTCACAACTTAAAACTAATTCTGGTGTGGTGCCAAGATAGTTGAGAGAAGTGCTTTCAGGAGCCTTAGTTGCAGGAGTATGCAAAACTTGAAGGGTGTTCAATGAAGCCAAAACACCGGGCTTACTGTCCACTCGCCAAGCCTGAGAGCTGCAGACTTTTTAAATATCCTCGCAAAGCTGATGCGATGCAGCTTGCAGCTTGGCAGGTCAAAGAAGCTCAGGCCTCCCAAGTCGCAAAATGTTCCCTCCAAAAGCAAACTCAGCTGCAGGCAGAGAGTGTACCGGCCTTGCCATACCAGCTTTTAACATAAGTTGGCAATCTTCTAAGGTTCTGAAGAGACAAATTTTTAGGGAAGCGTATGCTGCCTTTGCAGAATCGTGAGTGTTAAGTAGGTGTTAAGAGCATACTCTGAAAGTCTTGTTATTTGCAAAGAGTGGCTTTCTGCGTAGCGGCGCCAGTGCAGCTTCAAATGCTCCCACGACGCCTATGTCCAGCCTACCAAGGGCTGGCGGAGGCGCCGGGAGCATCGGTTGGAGGACCTGCAGTAATGGCGCCTGCTCCCTATTCTCCTCCCCCTCCTGGCTTTCTTCATTCATATGCAGCAGCTGCTGGTGTTTCTGCTGAAGAGGGTAATTCACCAGACGCGACTCAAGCTTGCCTGCCACCCGCAGGCGTTCGGCACAGTACAGCACAGCGCTAAGCTTTGATGCTTCAAGGAAGCGTGTTTTAAGATGTGATACTGCTGAACGAAGGGAATCCATAAAGACGGAGCGGTTCCGTAGTCGGCCAACCCCAGTAGCTGTTTTGATGATGCAAGAAATGAAGCTTTGAGGGAGCGGGGAAAAGGCTGAGGATGGTAGTCCGTTGACAGAGTTAAGGAAGTGCTGGCGGGTCAGCGCTTGCCGCCGCCTGCTTGTGCAAGTTTCAATACGCTGTTGTTGGAGCTGAGGAGGCTCGAAACAAAAGCGGAGGGCCAGCCGCCGGACAGCCTTAAGCGTTCCGTCTCGGAGCTTCACCTCAAATCTATTTTGTTCGTGATTGTAGCGGAGAACTACGCAAGGAATGTGGGTCCAGCTGTTACCCACAAAGTGCAGGACTTCCGCCTCAGCTTCACCGTCGGTATCATCGCCAGCAGAAATTGCTGCGTTTCCTTGTATCCTATCTTTGGAAAACTGGGCTACTGCCCTGCCGGTAGTATGCTTAACAGGAGAGTCTTCTGCCCCTAAAATGGCTCGCTTTTCCTCGGATAACTCTGACTTGTGCGACGATACACACTGTTGATCAATGTCCTTCCTCGCTGCTTCGCCTGTTGTGAGCGTGCCGGGCTTCTGGGGGGCAAATTCCATTACTTCGTGCTCTTTGGGCAGCCGTTGCACTTTCAGTGCATCCTCACTGGGAACGCAGGGGGAGGTTCCGACTGGCTCGGGAAGAGTGCAGGCATCAGCATTGCAGACTGTATCGAACGATGCAGGGGACCGCGCGCTGCGGGACCTTTGAAGACGCCGCTTCTGGCATTCAAGGCGGCAGCGCTGCAATAAAGCTTCAGGCGATGACTCACCATACTCTTCAGGGATGTCAAAGGCTTCCAGTGGAAGGTACTTCAGCCTTGGTAGCACATACTGTAAAGGGTTCCCTTCGTACTGTTCATGAGCGTGGCTTGGCTCGGAAGGCCCCAGGCCAGTCAGTATCTTTCCACTGAGATCGCTGGCCCTGGTGTTGCTGCAGACGCTTTCGGCAACTGCTGAAAATGCCTGTACAGATTCCTGCTTGCTTCCATCTTTCCTAGTGCCCTTGGCAGCACCGCGCTTGTTACGCGATATTTTGACTGAGTAGTTTTCATCTCTCTTTAGCTTTCTCAGCAGCACCAACACCTCATCTAGCGGGTTGAAGGGCGGCGCATCCTCTTCGTCACCAGAGGCCTGTGAAGTTCCATCCATATAATCCATGTTATTTCCTGTATCTGGAATTGCCCCCGTGGAGGTTCGCTGTAACCGTTCTTGAGCAGATAGCTGTTTTAGCCTCGTGCTTGTGGGCTGGCCAGATGGTCGACGTTTAGTCGGCCACGGGCACTTAACAGGAGGCTGATTTTGCAATTTCGCAGCAGCATATTTAGTCTTTGGTGCTGCAGTGGTGGGTGCCTCCTCTTTCTTTCGCAGCGCAAATGTACTTCTTCCGAAGGTCTTCTCAGGCGTTTGCTTCTGTGCCTCTGGAGTTGTGGTATCACTGTTTCTCGCTCTCGAAGGTGTTCGGATCCCTGACGGTTGCTGTTCTCTACTGCGCGCTGAGCCCGAAGATAAGCATTGTTTCTCCTTTTCTTCTTGGCGGTGCATCTGTTCAAGTTCCTGCTGCCGAAGCTTATGACGTGAAGGCCACTGAGCTTGGGCTATCGCTGCAGAGGCAGCAGCGGCTGCTGCAGCAGCAGCAGTCGCTCGTGCCTCCTCTCTTGCTACCGACTCGTCAACACTTGGGTGCTCCTGCCGCTGTAGGGCAAGCGCCTTCTGCTGGGCCTTCACGTATGCTTCTTGCTGCTGTTGTGGAGTTTGATTTGTGCTGAGCTCTCTCACTTCGGCTTCAACAGCATGGCGCGCTCTACTTTCCGCAGCACTCCTCTGCGTTGCTGCTGCAGAGAGCAAAATACGAGAACGCTCTGTGGTGGCGCTGTGGCTTAGGCCGCGGCGAGCAGGGAACTGTCCGCTTGGCCCCCAAGCTTTACGGGAATGACGATGATCTTCCGCCAGCCATTCGCGGAAGGTGGTGAAGGTGCGCCTGCGAGGTACAACTGAAACACGTGAGGCCAAAGAAGAGCCTCGCTTCTCCAAGCGCTGGGGTGTTGCCATAAATGACACGGCCGCAGCTGGTGCAGCAGGAACTATCCTCCTGGGTTGGGGGGGGCACAACGATAGATCATGGGAACCAATATGGACGGCAGCCCACGGCGGCCTCAGGGGAAAGTCCGTGTTGGTTGCCGCAGTTGCAACCTGCTCATCGCTTTCCACAGATCTCCCAGGTTCCTGGTTTTCGATTGCAACCGATTCCCGATTTAGAGGCCCATTCTGGCGTGTCTCAAGGCCAACTTGTTCTCCATCTGCTGCAAGATCGCCAGTTTCTCGCTTATTATCTGTTCTAAAAGGCATGGTCGCCTTGGACTTAGTACCCTCCAATCCAAAGTGCTCGGTGCAGCTCGAAGACATTAGTCTTACGACACTAGGAGCGCCGCCAAGCAATGTGGGAAGCGACGTGAGGGTCCTGGATCGATTTTGCCCCTTGGATTGGCTCATTTGTTCGTGCCCTGAATCTGTTGGCGGCACGGGACCACTACAGCGTCCGCTTTTTCCGCCAAGTGCTGTGCCACTGCTAAGTCCGCCACCCGTAAGGCTTAGCTTCACACGCTCGCAGCCCCTAGTGGGAGACGTCAGTCGGACAGTAGGGGGCTCTTTCCAAGGGTGCATCATTTTATTACTATGATGAACAAGACTTTTTTGCAGTTGCCGCTCAGGTGGCACCCCTAGTGATCACTGCACAATTCTCGTTGCTGCCCGCTTACAATATCCTATGCGGATGTTTTAGCACATTAAGGCAAAAAGCATTTGAGGTGGAATCCTCTAAAAGCAAAGCATCTGCGCTCAGTTCTGCCTTTGATCTGCTTCGTACTTTGTGACTAACCCCCACCGTTCTGAGGAAGGCGGCGAATGAGCCAAAGTACGGAGTTCTACTGCACAACACCTTCATTCCCCTCGAATGACGGGATCTACACGCAACGGATACAGCATATCAAGGGGCATACTGAGTTAGCTCTTAGTTCGCCTCGCGAAGTTTCCACACGGATGTGCGAACGCCCGTACCCCCGTAACATCCTGCTGTTTGTACTACCCCTTCACGAAGACTGCAATGAGGACAGTTAGCGCGGCATAGAAAACGCGTTAATAATGCAAAAACTGCCCTTCTGGAGCAATGGTACTATTGCTAACAGATCATTCCACCCAAGTGACCCTGCACCATAGCGTAGCAAGCCGCCCGCATTCGTGATCGACGTGCGCGTACGACAACCGCTGTGGGAGTAGCAATCAATTTTATTCCCCATATAATACATCAAAATTAAAGCTCAGAGGAAATCCCCCCCATACTATCTGAAGGGAGGTCGCAAACTCCAGGAGAACGCAACGGTCGGCCTCAGCTAGAGCGGCGGTCCCCTGGAAGCCTACTTCTAGAGCATCTGTGCCCTCCACCGGTAGAAGGACGGTATTCTATAGCTTCAATCCATCCGCTAATTACTTTTTTTATGGGGTATGGTTTCATGCCTCACGCTTACCTTGCATGGTGGGACGGTCACACCCATGCCGCCTAGCCCCGTGCCGATAATGCTACACCAATGACGCGCGCTGGCGTCTTTTTACACCCTCAACCCTTCCTGAGCAATTGAACCCTCTATTTTCAGCCCATTTCTGATTATCCCCTCCAAGCGAGTTCCTTGGCGCGGCAACGAACGCGAAGCTCACTCCACACTAACCGTCTGCTCTGGCTAGGTACCAGTTGCATCATTTTGAAAGGATTTGCCTCGCAGGCTCCATCAGGCAACGATAGGTGCAGCTGCTACATGCTACCTTGAGGGGCAAGGAGGCAGTGGTAACATGGGGCTTTCACGCCGAGCCGCTGTAGTAGGAGCTATTCATGAGCAGAAGCTCCTGCGACAACGCGAAGCCTACCTGGCTGCAGCAAAGGCTGTACTAGCCGAGCGTCTACAGCTACAGCACACTGCACAGGTGTCTAAGAGGAGAGAGGATGCAGCAGCGGGGGCCACATTGCGCAGAAGAGTTCTTGAGCTGAGACAGCGGTTTTCCCCGCGGCTGGAAGAAAGACGATGCAAGCTGAAAGCTTTGCTTGATAACGAACATGCCGAAGCTGAAACTGCACTGCAACAGCTGCAAGATAATGCACCAACCAGGGAGAAGGCCATCCTGCAGCGTGCAACGGCGCTTAAACAGAAACACGATCAACAACGGGACAAGGAGGACGAGCGTTTGCTAGCTCTCAGATTGAAACAAGAACGCGGGGATCTGCGTTTGCAAGAACATAAGCAGCTTGTAGAAGAGGTGACCTACCATATTTTGCTCCTTAGCGCTCTGGTTGGAAGTTGCGCAAATAAGTGAAATGCATTCCACCTTTTGGAAACTGTTATTGACACAAGCGTGGATTCTGCAATTCCCACATTGCCAAGTTCTCTATTTGAAGCGTGTAGCTTCTAGAAATTTTGACTGATTCACCGTGCCTGGCTTGCAGATGCTGGCAGCAAATGCCATGCAAATAGCTTCAAAACAGAAGCAACAGGAGGAAAGGGCCGAGGAAGAAAAGGTGTTTCATGCGCTTTGGACAGAAAGCCTTAATGAAAAAAGGCTGCGCGAAAGAAGGGATATCAATGCGAGTATAAAGAAGACCGAGCAAACGAAAGCCGCTCTGCTCGAACAGGTACTTCCCCGCAACGAGACAACCAGCTGAGCATACACGCCCGTGGGACAACAACCGCCGTCGAGGACGATACTTTCATTCGCCAAGATGCTTTTCCTTCAGATTTGTAAGAGGGAGGAGAAGCGGCAGGAGGAGCTGGCAAGGCTACGAATTGAGAACGAAGAGGAAATTCGTCGTCTTCAGGAAGAGGCTCAAGCTGCGGCGGAGCAGCGCCAGCAGCAACAAGCAGATGCAATACAGCGAAGAAGGGAAATGGATCTTGTTCTTGCTGAGCAGCTGGAAGAAAGAAGTAGGCGTCAGCTGGAAGATGCAGAACTTGAGAGGTCGGGCACTACTGGGGCTTCTCACCGGCTCAGATCCTTGACACCGTCCTTTCGTAGTTCTGCAGTCAATCTATTGGTCGTATGCGGCCAAGCTTATAGAAAAATAACACTCTTTTTATACATAGGCGCCAACTTGATACGCAAGCTAAAATGGGACTGCAAGCGGAGGATCGTGCAAGGCACATCAAAGAAATCGAAGTTAACAACGCACATAATGTTAGGATCGTAAGCATTTACGGTCCTTTGACGGTGTGGGCACCAGCAAGAGCAACTTGAAAAGCCCGGTTCACGGCAGTTTCTGCAAACTACAGTGCACGAAGGGTGGCTTTTCGGCGGGTGATCTCACTATCAGAGGGGTCTCGTGGTTGGTTTTGTCTCCTAGCAGTGGGTAAATCTGCATCGCTGAGACAATTTCCCGATAATGTTGTGCCTGCAGCTGATGCAACAAGAAAAACAGCGGCAAGTTCAGGAACTCCAGGAATTCGATGCCTTTTGTATCAAGGAGCAGCTTGCACAGGAAGAGCGCAAGGAGTTTGAGGTTCCGTACCCACTCTTCCTTTATGCAGAGCGATGCATTCATCCCTCTCTATGGGAAAACACAGGGGTTTCTTAGCTGATCGCAGTTGCCATCACCGCACCATACGGACTTCAGACGCGTCTTGCCCTCCATCTTTCCTCTGCTTCTTTAGCGGCCGTTGGCTCATGGCGCGAAGTTTCAGTCATTATCTTGCCTTGCTTTGTATGTTTGCAGCGCGCTGAAGCAGATGCTGCACGGCGGCAGAAGGAGCTTGCCGTAGCCGCTGAATGCAGAGGTGCGATGCCTACATCAGAGCAAAAGGGCCTTTTCGCGAAGGCAGCTATACACACCGTGTTCTGATGATGAGCAAGCCCACTCACTCAGAAAACTGGTCGGGTGGGCAGTTTTGGCAGGATAAGTGATAGTAGACCTTACCGACGTTGGGTTTTACCACCACTCCCTCCTTTTAAGTCCCGCACTGACGACAGGCTGATAAGCAGCCTTCGGGGAGTGTTCTCCTTGGGCATCACCTCAGAACAAATAAAGAGACGAGAAGCCAGTAAAGCGGCACTGGAATGCGAGAAGGCGCTCGAAAGGGCTCAGGGGATAGAAGCCTTAGAACAGTACCATGCGTCGCTTCGACAAGAGTGAGGCACATAACATGCCTGAGGCATGACAGAGCAATTTTCGGGCAGATTGGTGGGAACTGGTACACGCTGCAACGCAGAAGCCGAAGATCACTGAGCATTACTGTTCAGTTACATGCTTTCTAACACCATTACCGTAAGCTCTAGCTGTGCTTAAAGGGTTTCAAAAGAACACGTGGGTGCTTCAGACGGATATCACGCCTTAAAGCCATGCAAACCTATCACGAGGCTCTCGATAGTCAAATTGCACAGCGAAACCGACTGAAGCATGCATCCAGCCAATTAGCTGCTGAGCACCGAAGTGGTTCTGGAGGTGGAGTTTGGAGTTAGAGGAAGGTCAACTGCCTTTCTTAACGCGGATGTGCTTGTTACAACAAATACGGGGCAACGCATGAGCCTTTTAGCCTTCCGCAACGGGCTTCAATGAATTGCCAGCGATAGGTCCGACAACTCGACGCTTGCTCAAGACGAATGCAACCACGAAGAAGCGCCAAGATCGTGCCTTTCGTCTGCTCAACAGTGGCTTCACATCACATTGCCAGCTAGGCCGGTTTATTCCCCTACTGCTGGCTTCAATCTGTCCAATGGTTATACTTTCACGCTATGAAGAGTAAGGAGTTCACTCTATCGTTATAGCACCTATGTACAATCTGCTATTATTCACAGCACCAATGTTGGACTGCATCGTATTTACCACACAACGAGCAAAATGTGTCTGATTCGCTTCCCGCACTTCCCCGTTGAGTAGCCGCCGTGCAAAGGGAACGTGGGGCGCCAGCCCATTGGACACAATGCTTGCCTCTGTTGCCCACGTTACTGAGTTCAACAATCTACGCGGGGAGCGTTGGAGCCACTGCAGTGGACTAAATCTCCACCGAAAGTACGCTCTGCAACCGGGGAAAAGAGCGCTAGTAGTTTTTTTTAAGCTTAAGGAAGAATATAGCCAGGGTATTTGGCTATCCTCTGATAGGGGAAGGCATGCGTTGATGCTCCTCTATTTGAAAACGAAAGTACTGCACGGCGATTTTCTGTAAAAAGTAAGATTTTAAATCTTGTACCTGCCATTATTAATTGGGAAAGCGCCACGCACTCAGCATGGCTGATTGCAGCACATATTAGGGAGAGTGTCGGTCAGTTTCATGGCGTTGTCAGAGCCTCTTGAAGTAACCATACCGTTAGATCCCGCTTCACCGGCACCTTCTCCGTATTCGTTTTGCCTATGGGGATATAAACGGTTCATTTGAAATGGGTATATGTACCATTTACCACTTATTTTTTTTTCTTCGTGGCGTTTGGAGGCGGCAGCTGCTTGGGATCTTTGCTGTTGTTCCACTGTCTGGCAATAGTGACACAGGAGGAAGCTCGTTGGAGTTAGTTTAGTCATTATTTGTTCATTTTACAGAGTTTTGTAGGGTCGAAAGCAATTGTTTCAGGTTATGGGCCGGGTCCTCGTGTTTCCGAGCGTGTAACAATGCTGGCTCCATGCGCCCGGCAGTTGCAACCTTGACCAAAGAACACGATTTCAGCATCCCAAATAACTCAATAAGAGCATACTGTCCTGTGGACTGGGCTCTAGATCTATTGTTTCATATCAGGAGAGACAACGCGACCCCACAGAGCTGCGTGAGCAGTTACAAACGGGATGGGCTCAGAAGGTCACCTGCTGCGCCCCTCCCACGTAGGTTCTTAAGGACAGAAGTTTTCCCTATCCCGAATTCCTATTCAAAAGGGATTGTGCATCGAAAACAATAGTAAAAGGGCACCAGAAATGGTTGCAGAAGCATCGAGAGCCGCAGCTGGAGCTGGACGCGGCGTGACTCCAGCCCATGGGGATACTGCCTTGTCTCCCTGGAAAGAGCAGACATTGCCAGCAGCATTGCTCTGTGTCTCTGTCCTACTGTAATATTTGTTCATTCCTATGAAACTGAGAGAAGGGCTCGACGGCCACTGTCCTGTGAAGAAGATTTCTGTAATGCCGCCAGAGTGCCGACAACCCAAGCTTTATCGGGTGTGGCGCCGCCCGCATGGCGGTTGTCAAAGAAAACATCCGAATGCAAGTGCTGCTGAACAGTACCAGCGGAAAGGCGAACAGTTGAAAGAGGGCACCCACCCTTCCCGCCCCGCTGACCCTTGCGAAACGGAGCGTTTTGTGAAGGGGCCAGTCGCCAATGGGACTATCCAGGAGACGGAAACCCCATCTCAGAAGCAGGGGGAGAGCACCGAAAGCAGCACCATGGTGCCAGAAAGTCACAAGCTGAGCGTTCGATTCTCGCCGAACGTCTCTCTAGCGTCTTTGCCCTCGGCAGCTCGAACGCCCAGTATACCTCGAGGCAGTCTGAGCCACAGCCAGAAGGTAATGTACTATATAAGGCAAGTAAAGGAACGTATATATCGCCTTTATCAACACCAGAACGGTGGCGAGATCAAGATTTCTGGTTGGGCTGTTTATGCGCTAACAGTTGCAGTGCAATGAGTGGATTTCAAAACGTAATCTCAAGGTGGAAAGGGAGCTCTTCGCTAAGACCGTGTGGAGCCCTTGGAAAGCCGTTAGCAGCCTTGCAGACTCGCCAGTTCATCACGTGCAGGATGTGAAGAGCGCAAGCAAACGCAGCACTGGAAGCCCGGAAGGCAAGAACAGCAGCAAGTCACTAGAGCCTGCAACTATCCAGACAGGAGCATCATCAGGTGCAGCTTGATCTCTACGTCTTGACTCAATCCACATACTTCTATTTTCCAAGGCCTCTGGCTGATGCGGGTTACAACTGTAAGCATTGTTATCTCAGGAGTTAGGTTTTCTGTATCCGAGACCGAAGTCGTGATACAAGTGCCTTGGGCAGGGGTGGCCTGGGAGGAAGCATGTTTGAAAAACGAGGGCAGCACTGCTTTCTTCTTCTCCTTGATGAGAAAGCAGCAAGAGTCCGGGTATCGGCATATCCAAGACTTAACTGACCTCTTAAATATGGGCGGAAGCGGCACACATACGGGTGCAAAGCCGATTCATTTGCCTCACCCTTTGCACAGACGCGGCGCGTAGACATGCATATTACCCATGCTTATGGAGATACTTGGGCGAGGTTTCCGTGCTCGTTCGGTTGAGGATTTTGCCCTCAGGCTTCTGTGCGTGGCCTCTTCATGGCGTTGTTTTTCCTGGGGAGGCGGAGACCTTACACTTTGGCTACTGCTTTAGTGAACGCCGTGGGCTGCAGTACTGTGACTGGGAGTTGCGCGTTACTCTGAGTAATGGGGCTGCGAAATCTGCTGGACCCCCATCAGCAGATGCAGCAGGTACGGCATATACTACCAGGATTTCCATCGCTGCCCTTGTTTCTGCCTCGCCCCTCCCTGTAGAGGGGCTGTGGTACCAAGGCAGCAAAGCCAGCAGGTGGCAAGCAGTTGCTGCAGCGGAAGAGGTTGTGCAGCTGCTGTTGGAGGAAACACTTCTTTGTGCAACAAAACCTGAAGAAGTTTCTTCCTGTGGGCTCACACTGCTCCATCTGGCTCACCAAACGTATGAATTGGTACTAGGTGGGGGGGCCGTTGGTTATGGCTCCAAAACACCGTTTTATTTTTCTACATCATACAGAAAACTGGGGATCAATGCTCACCCTAGCTACTGTGGAGGATCTGGTCCAATTGACGAGCAGCACTGTAGCGCTCCCCCAGATACTGTTGACTTCCACAATTTCATGCAGGCATGGAGGATTCGCTGGCTAGGGCCACTTTATTCAGAGTCGCCAATGCGCATCTAGGCATTACAGCACCGCCGGACGTTGTGGATGCATTCTTGCTGCTGCGGCATAAAGTGAGCTGCCTACAAGATTGCCAAGGGCAGCAACTAGACCTGCTCCAGGAAAGGTTCTGTGCCGGAAAACACAGAAAAAATGGTGGATCTCCGGACACACAGGAACGGGTCACTGGGAACGAAGAGTCCCAGGAAGACGAAAAGTCAACAGCGGTTCCTTCCTGTGGCTCCCTGCCAGATGCCGTGGCAGCCGCCAAAGCGGACACGAACGCATTTAGCGTGGAAGCACTGCAAATGCAGATGCTTCAGCTGCCTCCAAAGGTGCAAGAGAAGAATCTAGAGTGCTTTTGGGCCCTCCGGAAGCTTCTTATACAGTGCGACGACTCGCAACCCGCATTCCAGGCAACCGAAAAGTGGCTGAACGCAGCACCCTGCCTGATTTTGCAGGAAGAGCAGGAGGTCGTCAGTGCAGCAGAAGAGGCTCTTTTTGTGGCAATAGGCCACGCGCTGGAGATGTTCCCTTCAGTATTGTCTGAGGCTCTGGAGATGACAGGACTTATCGGCATGGAAGGTCAGACTGCGAGTCCCCACATGCACTGAGCTGCCCTCTACTGTTCAAGAGAAAGAGACTTGGTTTAGAACTTTATGCTGACACCCCACTTCTAGACAAAAAGCGAGCAGCAAGACTAGACATGTTGTCAGCTGTAGCTGCGCTACCTCAATGCCAGCGCTCTTTCTGCAGCTATTGCGGCTGCTGCAGCAGATGAAAAGGGACGTCAGGGACAGCGAAGCTCCAGACGCCAGGCCAGCAAGGGCCGACACGACAGTAAAGCAACCGACGATCCTAGCGGTAATCCAGCAACGGCAGCTGCTGCTGTTGCTGCAGCAGCAGCAGCAATCGGTGCAACTGGCATCGCACCCGAAGAAGAAGGTCCCAAAACGCGGCAGCAGGTTGCAGAGCAGCTACTGCAGTGGCTGCTAAGCGAGGCTGTCGCAGCAGCAGAGCCCCAGCTGATGCTGCAAGCGGCAGAGAAGACTGCGGAGTGGGGAGGGGTCCATGCTGAAGCAGCACGGAAACGATGGCAGCACCAGCCACCAAATGAAGCCCTTGAGCTGCAGCTCCAGCGCACACCGCTACCCTCCGGTTTAGATCACCGCGTGCTCCGTATGGTCGACTACATTTCTAAGAAGCAAGCGCCCACAGTAAAAGCTTGTAAGCCGTTCAAACACTCTATGGCCTGTGCGCACTAGTATTTGTTGCCGGAAAACCCTTATGGGCGAACCGTTATATCAAATGACACTGAACGACGGTACTGCGCAAAGCGAACATGATGTTTCCCCTGAAGGTACGCGGGCGGTTGTACTGTTTGATGGGAAGATCACAGAGGACCTGCTATCAATTCTTCAGCTGCAGCCGCCTGCCCAAAAGCATATCTGGATACAGCAGTTGCTCCAGAATCGTCTTGGCTACATAGGCGATCTGTTGCCACAGGCACGCGAAGGTGTACTGTTGTGTCTCGAGATATCTCCGCAGCAGCAGCAGAATCTCCGGCAACAGCACCCGCTGCTTCTGCAGCAGCTGATGCAAGAACTAGTGGAAGAATACCTGCTTCCAGCGGTGCTTGGGGATGATCCCCAGCAATACCAAGTGCCTGTCGCATGCCTTGAAAACCCCGAAGACTTCGTTTCTTTTGTAGAGGCGGCAGCAGCGAAAAAGGGAATATGTGTAGCCAATGATAGCCCAGTGTCTGGCGAGCGAGTAGGACAAGACGAAGAAAAAGGCGAAGAATTGGAAGACGTTCCTTCTCTTGTTGTTCTCCCTTCTTGGCAACAGTTCTTCTCTGCAGCTGCCGGAAAGCTAGAGGACCTCCAGCACGAGTTGGTGCTGGGGACTTCGGAGATGGCCATACCGGGCAACCAAAAGGAAGATAGTGAAGACGGAACAGAGACAACCGAAGCAGGAAATATTAACTATCTCTCGGCGCAACGCCATCTCTCCAAGCTGTCTACATTGCTGGGTATAGATTTCGTGGCTCTTGACTCCCCCTGTTACCTTACTAAAGCAGCAGAGGCTCCAGCAGCAGCGATGGGAGAAGTTGCTCTAAAAGACCCACAGACGGTTGCTGCCGCCGCTGCTGCAGCAACAGCAAGCAGCCCCTGGTTGCTGCAAGGCCGAGTCTCCCGGGCATTGGGACCCCATGTAGTGGCGTATTTACAAGCGGCTTGCTTATTGCTAGGTATTGATCCCGCTGCTCTACAGCAGCGCGCAGCAGAAGCGGTTATTGACTGGAAAGAAGAGCGGCATAGGAGGCAATCCTTAGATGCTGCAGCAGCCTCAGCGAAGCGGCGAATGCAACGGCATTTGGAACTTCTATGCACTGACAGCAGAAGCTGCTGCTGCTCCAGTCGAACTACTGCACTGGCAGATTCTATTGAAGATAACAGTATCACATTGACAACCGGAAGTCTGGATGATGCAGGATCGCTTGGGCCTCTTGGTTCAGATGCGGCAGACCAGCAAGCCAGGCACGCCACCACCGCTGTGCTCTGCGCGTACTGGGACCAAATCGTTCCCACCGCGCCAGGAAGTACCGCAGCTGAAGAAGGTCCTGCCCACGAGATGTTGTTAAAGTGGGCCTCCGTTCAGCTACAGAAGTTGAGGATGCTTGTTTCAGGAACAATTGTCTCCAACGTTCTCCTGGCAGGAGATTTGATCAGCCTCATTTGCGGGTTGGCCCTAAACGGAGATGTGGCACTGGAAATTAATGCCCAGGACACGCCAAGGCAAGCGGAAACCTTGCTGAATCCACAGCAAGAAGCAGATGCGGCAGCGGCAGCAGCTGCAGCCAAAGCAGGAGCAGAAGATGCTGCTGAACCAGGCTTTCCCAGGGGCTGGCTAAGACTTTGCAGGACAGCAACTGCAGAAACCGCCAAACCTAACACCAGTGGCATGGCAAGCAGAAGCTGCTGCATTCATCCGCGGGTCTACAACCTGCGGCAGGTGCGCGGCTTTGTGCTGGCGCATTTGAAGAAAATTTTGGAAATAGGTGGGTATTGTGGTGAGCGGATTCACATGGTGACGATTTCCAAATCCAATACGCTTATGTTAAAAGCAATGCATCTTGCCTTTCCTGCAGCAAAAGAGAGAGGAGTTGTTATCCAGCTTCCGACTGAGGTGCTGCTCCAAGTAGGCCCGCAGCCTGCTGCCCCTGCTACAGCAACAACAGGCACTGCTGCTGAGGGGGCCTCACGTGGGCGTAGAACAAGTGACGGCGTTGGGGGGAGCCAACGGAACAGTACTAAGAAACCGCGAGGCTCTGCTAAGGTTGAACCTCTCGAAGGGCATATAGAGGATACAGGGGCAGGGGATGTGTCGGGATCGCCAGCAAGTGAAGAAGAAAAGCCGCCGTCCGTGCTAGCTGTGTGCCACCTACCCCCAGCGGACCTTCTGTGGAAAGTAGTCTTTATGGGAAGCAGCGACTTGTGCGTGCCTCCTGAAGGGGACACGAGTAACACTACAGCAAGGCGGCGCTCCGAAGAGGGAATGGAACCTTCAAGAGCCAGCGGGATATACGCCACTATGACGCAGCAGGCGGTTGACAAAGCCGTAGCATCGTTTGGAGGCCCTTCCCACTTTTTGTGGCTAGGAGACAAATTAAGCAGGGAAAACGAGGGGATACAGAACTTGCTTGACGCGGCTAGAACCCCGGATGCCACGGTAGTCATGGTGGAAAGTCTCGTGAAGGCCAAGAAGTACAGTCCCCAACACCCAACGATGCATGCACCCACAGTTGTTCGCGGATCCTCCCCAATGTGTCTGTCTTCAGCTCTAGACGCAAACGAGTATTGCATGTGAAGTCCATATTTGTGTGTTTCAATGCGTCTTGCGCGCAGCATGTTGGAGACTAGCTTTTCGAACTCAGATGATGACTTTGGGTATAGAGCGCCAAGTGCAGACTCGGTAAGAGAAGGCAAATTTTATTCGTAGTCCTCAATAGAGCCAACTCATTGTGTGGATGTTCATTTTGTGCGGTCTTCCCGAGTGTTTCTGTCCTTAGGTGCTCCTTGAGTCTTCTGCATCCTTCGATGCATCTTCAAGTCAAATTAGCATGATGAGCAACGGCGACGACAAGAGGATAAGTTTGAGCAATGCTCAAGGAAAATTAGGGATAGAGCATCTTCTGCTCTTCGGTTCCATTGCGAGGAACAGCTGGACCTTCGCTGAAAAGGGGATTGCAAAAGTTGAAGCATTTCTGGATGTAGAGCCTCTGCTCCAAATGCTTCAAGGGAGGAGAGTCAAGGATGTACTTCTGGCGGATGACATGTTTCTGGGAGAAGGAAAAGAAACAGATTGCACGACAGCACAAACAAAGCTGCAAACCGCCTACAACTTCCAGTTGGAACCGCGCGGCTCATCCTGAGATTTTTCCTTCTTCTTACATTGCAGCTATTGTGCGTAAAGCACATTCGGCAGCGAACGAGTCCCTCGTTCTCCTACGTTTTACTCAAACCCGGGTCACGGGAATTGTTTAGGGCAGTTCCATTTGCAGACTACACAGAATCGCAAGAGAAAGATGTATTTATGCACAATACCAACAGCCACAGTCCTCGAAAGCAAACTTTCGTTCAGTCGGATGCGCTGGGTACCTCTCCTCTTGAAACACGTAGCATTGCCAGTACAATTGCATTGGGCCTCCATTCATCTAGATATAGTAATGGAATGTCACATGCTATTGACTATGCCGACTTAAGTAACGGAAATTGAGTAGATTCAGCACTATCCTGCTTGATATCTAGTCAAATAGGGAAACAAGAACCGGTATCCAGACGCTTTTACTTCAGCTGCATACCAACCAGGAGCCGCTGCAAGCGTCTGTTCAGCTGCGGGCCTGTCAAATATAGCGCGTCACAGAAGCGGCGAGAAAAGGTTCACCTGCGCCAAAGCCCACAGCAGTGCCAATACCACTAACCTCCGCGAGGCACCAAAGATCACTGTTTACAGTAGCAGCAGCATAATGGGCAACCGGAGTTTACTACAGGAACAGTGAACGCACCGTAGTGGGCAACCGGACACAAGTAAGCACAAAATAAGCCAAGAACAAGCGTCGCAGAAGCTCACAAGCACCTGTCGGTAAAGGGATATGACTGGAGGCAAAGCCCCAGTTCGTTGGAGATGACTTTTAAGGCCCGTCCTCTAATGCCATTTGCCACAAAGTATGTTTAGCAGCTATTAGAAAAGGTACATGAGCTATACACACGTGAATAGTTCCCAAAAATTTCCCCACTAATGAACTCAAATTTGGCAAATAGCTGCGTTTTAGAATAAAACTAATACTTGGTGTGTTGCCTTGCATACTATTGTCATGTTTCGCCACCTGCGTACTATATTTACAGCAAAAAGGCCAAAAAGATCCTATCTGAATTTAACCTTTAGCGCCTAAACTAACTGCGCATCAAATAAACGGGCGCTGTCGTAAGTGTAGCAGATGGTGCAAAACCATTGGGCCTATTGCTCGGGTAATTCCCCGCAGCGCGCACGTTGGCTGCAGATTGGGGAAGACAACCAGCATAATTTTCAGCCCCGCAGAGCCAGCTCTAGAGTTCAACTAATGCAGCGGGCCTTCATTACCTTTGTCGCCAGTGTGCTAGATAGCGCGCAGGCGACAGCGGTCGACATTGAACTCCGTTCATCAAATGCCTAGAAAGTTTGAGAAACGGCACTATTTCGCCACAGGGAGCCTGGCGCTTGATGTGTGGAGTGCGGATAAGGAAATACAAAATCACGTTTGGTTTACCGCGGCAAGCCCCAAGTGTGAATGTAGATGGCTCTCTAGGGTGAGAGAAATCACAGCAGGGGCAAAAGCTTCATCGTAAGCAATGCCTACATACTCGAAATCATTTCTGCTTATTCAGCTTGCAGACGTGCTCGTAAGGTAGACCCTTCACCAGAACCCCTGTAAATGGCAGAAGATGCACACATACACAAAACGGCGCATTAAACGCATTCAACTAAGAAGCCAGCTACAAACTTCTAAAGAATCAAAAGTAATGAAGGTCTTGCCGAGTTTCAGCGACTCCAAGACCATTCGTCATGAGCAGGAAGACATGCCACCTCGTCCCACCTCGGCAGCCTCTGTGCCTTTCTTGCTTGAACAGCGGCCCTGTGTCCAAAGTCACCTGGACCGAATATGAGTCCATATCCAGCCCCTCTAGCCTTCCTTCATGGCCGCGCCATTCGCCAAGAACAACAGCAAGACGGCCTCCTATAGGCTGAGTGCCGAGAAACAGAAAAGCAGGTGGCTAGCCGGGTAAGAGGAGGCACGCATTGGCAGTCCCTTCAAGCTCCATCAGCATCATATTCGCTCCGCACACAGCTCTATAAAGCAAGTGCATTCCCCTCTGAGTTGATACCCCTTCCTTTTCCGAAAAAGCCTTACAGGTATAACAGTTTCGAGGTACTCCTGATCAAGCTTTAAAATGGCACCACCTTCCAGCATCTCCAGGACTGCAGAATACCTGCAAACATGGGAGCTCAAAAACCTTGCAAGCAAGTCCAAAACAGCCTAGTTGCTGGTAGCTGTAGAAATACCTGTAGAGGCCCAAATTCTTTGGGGAGCCCACGCCTGTTGTTGCACTTTGGCTCGAGGCAATGACAATGGGAAATCAATATAAAAATATGCGCAGCAACTCGTAGATTTGTTCAACCTGAAACGTGAGTGCGCTCTTCACGCTCATCAATACATCTGGGAACGCTAGTTGTTGCATACCTGCCATCCACAGTCTTGACCACCCCTTTCTGCTTGTAGTATTTGCCGTCCCCCAAAGTCTTGTGCATTACCTTGACAATTAGACCCGGCTGCAGCCACCTGACGCACCAGCAGCAGGTCCGGAAAGAAATATTTCAACCCTGCGTGTTGCAGGTATGCGGAACTACTGTGTTTTTTGTAGCAGCAGTTTCTAAAAAAGCGCATTTGCGGAAACCTCACCAGTCTGCACCTGCATATTTGTGCTGTGGAGGTCGCGGCTGGGGGCTTGTGTGAGACTCTTCAGTTTCTTTTCGCTCTCTCCAATCCCCCTTATCTGCAGGTGAAGTGCCCTTATAATCAGAAAATGGACTCTTTTCAAACGCTGCTGCCTTCTGCTTGCGCTGTTCCGCTTCCAACACTAGTGCTTCCATGGCCGAAAGCTGCATCACAAACCACCGTCCACGCACAATACATGTGAAAAACAAGGATGTTGCTGCTAAGCTTCCACATTAAAACGCAATCTTAAACAGGCTAGATAAGAGAACTGCACGTACCTTGCGCTTTTCAGCCTGACTGCCGCTCTTGGACAGCCGCTCTTGCTTCAGCTGTTCGTGCAGCTGCTGCAAGGCGTTGACTTTCCGTTCTTTCGACTCTGGCTGCGTTTTGTTGAAGGTGAGGGCAACTGTGTGTCCTTCTTCTCTTTGCAGTGGCGTGTATTCCTACGTTTCACAGCGTCAAAGCCAGACACGGCGGTGATGTATATGTTTCAAACGAGCAGCTGCAGAAGCACGCATGGTCGTGCTCGACAGCGTGCCACCCCTGATGGCAGCTAAGTCTTTTGCGGCCTACTGGTTCCTGAAACCCTCCCCGTCGCCTGGATTCCTCAACCATTGCCTGAATCTGTTCCATGCGAGCGTCTTCCTGCGATTTTTCAATTTTTCTCCTCTTCGCTTCCTCCTCCTGCATGCATGAACAGCACACTGACGCAGTAACGTGGCCCTGAGTTGCTCTTTCGGATGCACCAGTGCACACATGGTGGCTCGTGCATGCCAGTCTTCAGCAGCTGAAAGCTCCCCTAGTTCATCAGAGCTCGCCTTTGGGCCTACTACTCTGCCTACCTTTTTTGCCAGCTCTTCATGGTCTATGTACTCCACGTACCAGCCCTTCGGTGTATGCTCTATTTTGCACTTTTGCGTCGCTCCCAAGTACTGCATTCAAGATAAACACGCCGACACACGCCAAAAGAGCTGCAATTAAATGAAAAGACAGGAACCTAGACTGCAGGGTAGCTGTGCTTCGACGCTGCGTAGGCACCCATGATGTGAACGCCTGCGCTTATTCGTAATCTGCAACACGGAAATGCATGGAACTCCTAAACGTATGAAGGGAGAAAAACGATTACCTGCACAAATTCAGACAATGTAACCCAGATGGTGGAGTTCATGTGAATATGGTGTCGGTCGCAAACCACGTTGTTGTAGACCGAATTCGCCAACACCCGAGTGCGGCAGTACCTGTGCAAAAATAACACGAAGATAGCGCCCGCAGTTTGCTTCTCTGTGCAACTGTACGTCTGGATAACCTCCTGCATTCCCTGGAGAGGGCCAGTGGTCCACCATGCAGTTGTTTGGCCAGTCAAGCTGTGCGACCATGTGAACACAACTACTGTAAGGGATGCCAATAACATCAGTTCAAGAGAGTTGCACCTTGTGCGCATGAGTTTCATAAACTCCTCCTCGAACTCCCGAGAGAACTCGTCCATGAATTTCCCAGGGCGCTGGATGAAAAGTTGCATTGCACGCTGGTGCCCTTCCGACATTCGGTGGCACTGCGCGCAGCCCGAAACAGAAGCCGCAAATAAACCATCAGAAACATAAAGACGGAAGGGAGTGTAGCAACGACAAATATACATGCATATGAACCAGCCATACAGAAGCTGCGCAGTATGCGGGGTTCTGAGCCACGTGGGGAGGTTCCTTTTGCTTGAAATGGTGCTGTTGTGAAGGCAGTTGTTGCGCTCAACGCCCTACCTTAAAGCCATTCTCGTCTCGGCATTGCTTTTGACACATCTGACAATACCATCGCAGCTTTTGCAGGCCCGAGGCCTTTATTTTGTTGCTCATCCATTTCGGCGTCCCGAATTCAGCTTTCGGCATCTCGGCAACAAGTACAATTGAATTTTGACAAACCGATATTGCGAAAAAGTTAACTGCAGTCCTCGTAGGAGCAAATGCCCTTAGCTGCTTCGGTTTCTTTTCCGTCCTTCGCGCGAGAAAGCGCGAATCATCAAGAAGAAAACGCAGGGAGGCTCCTAACTACCCAGCGTGGGCGTAGAGAGGCTAAAAACAACCCTGTAAGAAACATCAGATCCACTGCTGTCAATCGCCCTCGAAGATGAAGGAAGTTGTAAATGAAGTGCTGCGACATATCATTTGAGGTTGCACGGTGGTGTTGAGAGGCTTTGGACACTCAAACCGGAGGCAAGACTCAAAAACAACATGAGGGATGCCATATAATCATTCACTGCCGATATTTAATGCAGGTGCCAATAGATCAGTGCCGATTACAAGGTGAATCAGTACAGACAAAAAGATGCCTTGGAGGCGAAGCTAGGCGGTGGGCGAAGGCGGTGGTGTATGCAACAAAAGCACCTTTTGCTACAATCCGTCGTGGCTTTATCAATCCCTCTATCACGCTTTTAAGGAAACCAGGTACATTTAACGAAGGAACCCCGTAAAAGTTGCTGATTGCTGCATGCAGCAGCAGGGCCCCCAACGGCGGGGCCCCTACGGGCTGAACTTTACAATAGCCTCCACTAGAGTGTTTGCAGAAAGTTACGATTACTTTTTACTATTGATGTATTTTCCAGGTTGTTCAGGCACGCAAACCAATATGCCTATTGCTACATCCTTCCACTGACTATTACACCTATGTGTGCTGCAGCGGAAGTCATAGTTTTATGCCTACACCTTCGTCCCCCAGGTGAACTTTTGACTGTAACTCAATTCAAATGCCGTGAGGTCATTTACTCTGCACACTTCAAAAGGATCTTCTTGCCTCGATTGCACCCGCCGTAGGTGAGCAAGTTCTGCGCTTGCTTCTTGCCGCACTGCCAGAAACTGGAAGATGCATTTCTACTATTGAACTGGGTGCAAACCTGCTTTTATACCCAGGATTACCTGGTGCTTAGTAACAATTACGTTTTCCAGCTGCCGTTTTCTATTTGGAACGTTCCACTAGCCACTTGCATGCTTCTTAGGGCATGCAGTAACCAGTGCGGTTGTTTCCGTCTCGACCTACAAGTATGCTAGTTGGGTGCTAGCATGTTGTATTTCTACAACTTAGTTGGGTGTGAATATGTATTTCTGCTATTCAGTTGACTTTCTTTTGAAAGGCATTAAACTGATGCATCTAATACTGGAACTCGCCGAAGAAATCCTTCTGCTTTATGACTGCTTCGAGCTCTCGCACTTCATTCAAGGGTTAACTTTGTTTTTTGCTCCCTCTTCCGCGCTTACAGTTTTTCTCTTTTTAACACGCCATTATGCGGGATGGATAAAAGGCTGAACTCTCGGAAATTTTAGCGAGAATACTTGAAAGTTACCCCCGGGGAAATGGCTTTCACGATGAATAAGTGTAGTAAACCAGCCCCCTGCTTGTGGGCATATGGGGCATGCCCCTCTGAATTTTGCAGTGCTGGTAAGGAGGTGTTAGGCGTGCATAGTATACACGGCGTTGCTACATTTGAATGCATGGATGCTTCCCAGCAACCCCAATATAAAGTGCATTGAGCACTTCAGTCCAACGAGAGTCCTCATCGTAGCAGAGGACCTTAGTAAGCCGCACTATACTTGAGAAAAGCGTTCAAACAGAGCAGCTGATAACCTCCTCTCCAGTCTACAGGGGTTATGAGTACACCAGGACTGATGCGGAAGGCAAGCGGCTTGCCATTACTTACACCACACCCCTGCCTCGCGTGTCACAACCCCACCTGAATCGTCAAGCACCTACTTGGCCGTCAGCCGCTAGCATGCATTCAAGGAAAAGTCTATGTACCAGCTCCGTACAGCGCATGCAGCGTGTACACGTTGCCCATGTACAGCACTACGGGATATTCCTGAAGAGTGAGTGAATCCTGCTGAAAGACCACAGTGGAAGCAAAGTTATACTTGGACCACTTCACAAAGTCCTTGCTCCAGCATCCGAAAGAGCATGGCTGGCGCTATACCAAAATGCCACTGGGCCAAATATACCGCAGTTTAGCCTTCTCGCTGTTTGTCTTTACAATTAGTGAACTGCCCCTCTACGTGCGGTGAAATAATTATTCCTTCCTCAGTCCCAGAACGCAGCAGAGAGGCAGTAGCTTCCAGGCTTTCCGCTGGTTGCGCACAGAAAGGTATGCTGACATCTACGGCGACTGTAGGTATACCCATGCGGCTTTCTCTATTTCTGTATATATATATATATATATA